AATCAGGCATTCGAAGATGATATGAAATAAAATGTCGGCCTTATTACTATTGCAAACGGTGCAATGATTGGCCATGCGTAACTGTGCAAGAGTGCGGGTAACTTGTATAGGTAACTTCAACAGCAGATATGAGCTTGGTTCCTTTGAGGTACTTAGCGTATTGTACATAAATACATGAAAGGGTAATGAGATGTCGTAGAGATAACTGTAATATTTATTTACTATTTTTCTCCTAGTTGAATTCAAAGAGTGACAAGTCATGTTATTTTAAATTTCCAGAGATCCGCTATCAATGAAAAATTGCTTTACTTGAAGTGCCTTATTATATTTTGCATCAGTCGTATTCATTCATCTCATTTGTTGTTCAAAACAAATCTTGGATAACGATCACTTTCCATGTTAAGAATATTGTACAGCCAGTTCAAAGTAATTTCAAAAATATTGTAAGTGTAAGTTTAACTCGTCCCATTTCTAGACGTATCTACTATTGCATCGGGTGTGTTAATAGGAACTGAAAGAATTTTTTTCAAGAAACTGAGATGTACTTTTTCTAATACTTCCAAATATCTAATGCACCATGCCGTAACAAAGTTGAACATAAGACTCATTGCTAATAATTTTACTCGTGGATACCAGATGTCAATTTTAGCTTTAGACGAAATAGGGATTACAGAGCCAATAGCCTGTTTTCCTTTATGCTAGCAACTGATGACATTTTCAGGAATAATCCTGACGAGGTTACCCCCAGATAAACATATGTGTTTGTTACCTCTAGTGGTTGTCCGTTGAAATGAGAAACAAAATTACGATATCCACCCGAGCAAATTGCATAATTTTAATTTTTCGTGAATTAACCGTCAGCTCATTGCATGTAGTATATTTTTCTAGAATCTTCAAATTTTTCACATCAATTTCTGAGTGGGCAAGATCATCTAGATATTATAGAGCCAACACGTCATTTCTAGCATCAATGTTCACACCCTGAGCCTGGTTATTATAGAAGAATGTTTCTATATGCGTTATAAATAGTACAAATAGAAGGGGGCTCAGAGGCTCACCTGGTAGAACACCAGTTGTTATTTCGAATAATCTAGACAGGCCATCAGAACCTTTTATTTGAATAGTTGCATTAGAATAAAGCATTTGTATTATCCGAAGAATTTTAGCTGATATCCCCAGCTTGACTAATTCATCCCGGAGTAGGTTATGGTTAACAGAGTGAAAAACTCTTCTTAAGTTAACGAAATTAGCGAATAGCTACACATTCTCGACCAGGCGAAAACCATACTGACACTCTGGCAATACTTTGCAATCATCGACTAATCATCGAATGTATGCATACTTGCTAGTTTGGGCCGACGGCCAATTTACAGGTACCAGGTACTAAAGGTGGGTAAAACTAGTGTTAGAAAATATTATTGAAAATTAATAATTAAAACTGCCAGACTCATTTCGGCGGCGATAATTATACCAGACGCTTTGAAACTTTCAAAAAAAATATCAATGTAACTTTACTAAACACCTCAGTCTTGATTTAAATATATGATACTCAGGGAACTAATTCAATTATTTTCTTAAGCAGCTAGACCGATTGAAGGGGCCTAACATCCCCCAGACATATGTCCGTTTGAGCGTGAGAGAGATATCTATGAATACCGATTTTTCTCCTGCACACACCGTCTATTCCAGTCTTACAGTGTATGTGTGCGCTACTTGGTGTTTAGCATACAGTTTTGTGTCGAGTATTTTCAGTGATATTCCATCGTGTCTGAATGTTATAATTTGTAAAACTCAAAAATTAATTTCAAAGAAATGTTTAGAGAAAGATATCAAACACAATTCACCGTCCCACATAGATATTGTTGTAATAGATGGATTTTTCTTACTTCACATGATGAAACTTGCAATACTTGCAATACTTTTCTCCTTCTATAAAAGATTACGAAAGATCTCTCCGACATGAATCAACACAACTGGAGTTTAACATCACCTGATCAAGTTCGACCGCCTGATTTTGGGGAATAATTAAAAAATAAAGGCTCTCGTTAATTTGTTCACACAACACTGGCTACAGATGAAATGGTACCATTTATTGGTAACAAAAAAATTGTTGTGAACTTCCAGAAATGTCACTCTTTTACCGTACTAACAATATAAGTACCTAGTGTCTGATTTTGATGAAAATCTAACATGTCCTGACCATGAAGAAGCTGACACTGAAATTATTCATCGTATCTGTAATATTGATGCTTTATTAGTTTAATAATTTTATTATTAGATGTACTGATACCGACATTACAACAATCATGCTGGTCAATATAAATCATTTGAAAAATGATGATAATTACGGGTAGATATTGACTGATGTTGATATCACTAAGGTTTACGAACATTCAGGACCATCACTAAGCCGTTGCTAGCCAGGATTTCGTGCACTCAGTGGATGTAATTACGATACTGCTTTTTATCAGCTTTTATTAGCTTGACCTGTATGTATTATCGACATTATTGTTTGATCTATTCGCGGGCAGATGGCGCTATACGTAAACTCCTTGATATAATTCGTACTCACTTTACATGTATTTCCTCATTTGAAAAAAGTATTTTTTTAAACGCGCGCCTGCTGCCTTACTTGTAACCCTCCTTTGCGAACTAAGAAGTTAAAAATAGTTTTTTTTTAAATAAGTTTAAAACAATAACGAACGAAAAATACCAGTATTATTGTAAAAAAGTGTGTGCGCTTTGTGCCATAGTTTTTCTATATCAAGCGCCCGTCGCTTTTTCCACAATAATACTAGTATTTTTCGTTTGTTATTGTTTCAAGCTTATTTGAAAAATATTTTTAACTTTTTAGTTCGATGTTTTTTGAAAGCGTGTTTTTTAGTTTTTCCACACTATAATTTTATTAGATTTACTATATGTTCAGGCATTTTGTGACTAGCTAAGAAACCATATTTGAAATTCAGCTAAAAAGTGAACCATCTATTTTTACAGCTACAGTTTGTATTCTTCTGTCAGTAACCTGTGCAGACGATAAAAAATGGGTTTGGGACAATAACAGTAGAAGCAGTAGCAGGAGCGCTTCACTAAGGGATCCGGAATATTTTAACAGGTAAATAGAACTTATAGGTTCATTGATACATTCACACGACAAAATTTGACAAGGCTGATATGTGGAGTTCCTGGAAAGTACAATCTCTTGATATTCAAGTAATTTTTGATTAAATTATCTGTTATGATCTTAGGTCATATCATACTTATATGAAGTGGTCATTTCACTTCATAAGTGTCAAAATAACAGCAATAATTTTCAGAAAAAATAAAAAAACACGTCTGCAATAGTATTCAGGGGGGCACATTATGACATTCATATCTGATGTTTCTTCCCCTATCGCACCCCAGAGCATGTCACTAATTTTTTAATGGATCACTCTATATTGTTTCGCATTATCAGATGGTCCATGATGAGCAGATTTCAACAGAGTATGAAACACATGATTTGCAGGAAAAATTAAAAAAAAACAGGTTAACAATCATACAGGATGCCACATTTTGAACTATTCGTTCTACTGACAAATATGGAAGCAATAAATCGGAAAAAGAATTTTTTTATTAATCCCTGTATCAAAATCTGATGGCTGGGCAATGAGAAGAAAAAAATTTTCCACGGTAAATGTTCAACTTCTATACAATGGTACAAACGAGCTTCCATTGCCGCCCTGACATGCTTGAGAATCTCGGGAGTTATTTCTCTACAATGCCTCATAATATTTTCTCTCAAATCTTACAATGTTGTTGTTCAATCTCATACACTTCAGACTTCAAATGACCCCATAGAAAGGAATATACAGTAGTGAGATCCGGAGACCTTGGTGGCCATTCTGTAGGACTTCTTCTGCCAATCCAGGGAAATTATCATTCAAAAATGGCCGCACTGGAGCTACATAATGAGGAGGTGCACCATTCTGCTGAAAAATTATTTCGTTTTCGAATAAATATATATCCTCCTCAATTGCCCTATTGATGCACGGTATTATTCGATTCTCCAACATATCCAAATATTCATCACTAGTCAAATAATCATCGATAAAATAAGGTCCTATGATTCCTGTCCAAACATTCAGTTTTTGAGGTCGTTGAGTATGAACTTGATGGTATAAATCGACAATTTTGCCGATAATTTTGTCGATTCACCTCTCCATTCTGCATTCATCCAGAAAACAAATTTTATACAAGAAATTCTGATGCAAGTTCGTTCAATTAATGAACTAGTCTAATCTCATATGGATGAAATTTGTACTTATGAAGGATCCTGAAAACATTTGTACGACTGATTTCTGATTCTCAAGATAACTTAATAAGAGATTGCAAATGTTCCTTTAGTCCTTTAAATTCTATACGTGTGAGCCGCTATACTATCGTACCAGTATCTCACTGTAAATATGACAAATTGTATTCTACATCACTATGAATATAACTCCCCCTTTTCCAAAACTAGTAACAGTACAATAAACACCGATACTTTTGTAGTTGTGTTAGAATTCTCTTTCGCAAAGTTATACCTACAAGGTGTCAATTCGAAAACCTCCCATTCCAAGTACCTTCCTTTAGGTAGAACACGGAATATCACAAAATACGTCACTTTCAATTATGGGGGACACGTTTCGAATAATACTATAAATATGAACCCCTTTCAACCCTCTACCAAGATTAGACGTTACCCACCAATATTAAGGAAGAAGTGAGTCAACCTATTTTGATTATCTGCATAAAACGAAAATATGGAAGTTATTAGAACTCAAATGCGGCAGGAAGTGTTCACAGGTTATCATTGAACAAAAATTATTTCATCGACTCCAATTTTAGTAAAAGTGGTACAAAGATTAGCTGGCACTGTTGCAACTATTTCTGGTTCAAGTAAAATGAGGATATCATTCTTTCACTTTCATAGAAATTACTTTTCGATAATTTTCAAAAAGAAACATGCGAATTATTTATTCAGTACCTTATGAACTCTGAGGAAATCAAGTCCGATAATCTCGGAGGTTACAGTTACTCTTCTTCTGTCAATATATCTTAAGTGTCAGGAATCGTACGTTGAAAGGTGAGACCTCGTTAATCTTCAGCTCTTTCTTCTACTTTTGAGGGTTGTCGTTCGTAGGAGACGATAACTGTTCAACGGAAAACAGATTTGTGAATATTTGAATAAACAGACCAAGAATTAACTTTTTTGTTGAGAATATGCGATAATTTCATTTATCTATATTTCAATTCAGAAAATATGAACTACCGTCACTCAGACAGATATTAGACAGAATACAGATTGGAAATAAAAAACCAAAATGAGTTGTTTTGTCAACCAACTATCATTCCTATAAAAACCAAAAGTTTCAGAAAATAAATATTATGTAAGCTGAGAATTAACGAAGTCCCATCTCTTGATGTGCGATGCATTTCTTATGTGGGTCATGGTTTCACAAAAATGTACTTCTATTAAACGTATCTGAACTGAATGTTATGAGGTTGAAATGTGCTTCTCAGTTCTCGAAAGTTTTTAATGTTCGTAAGGACCTGATGGCCTCTGCAACAAATATTTTTGAATTCCAGTTTGTATTCCTCTATTCAAAATATTCTTCTGATACTTGGAACTTGTCTGGTTCATCCATTTTTTCCAATGCATTCAGAACCGACTAGTTATTTATATATTTTCATTTATTCGGAATACTTCATCATCACATCAAGAACTACCTGAGACTTACATTCCCATTTTGTTTTTTTTTTCTTTTAGAATATCTTCAATCATTTTTGCTCAGTTTTAAACATCTTAGTGAGTAAGAATTTTGTCGAAACTTTCTCGAAAACTTTGACAGTCATTGAGTTTGTCGCTAAGGAGCACAAGTAAAACTGAGTTATTGATTTAAAATACATTTTTTAAGAAGTAGCAAGTGCTTTTGGTTCAATTCCGGCTGTAGGAATTAAGATCTCCAATTAAATAAACACCAATGATGTGCCATCGAAATTCACCTTTTGATTTAACTTTTTGAGGTTATTTTGCTCTTGTACTCCTATACACAAAAAGGAGAATCGATACAATTCTTTTTAATTGAAATAATATCCTGAAAAGCATCACTCTCGGTGCAGAAAAGTTTCACCTAATACCTACTGCCATTTTAGAAAAACTGCTGGTTGAAAAGTAGTAGAATTAAAATTATCTCAGAATTATGTGACACTTTACTTCCTTTCCCAATCAAAATTCTAAGAGTGGAAACAACTCTGCAAGAAATTGTTCTTTTTGATTTTTCGTTCCATTTACTGAAACGAAATATATGGCTGGAGAGTTTTTCAATTGACACCATGTGGATATATTAGTGAATTATGACTCATTTAAAAACAAAAAAAAATCTTCAAACTAAGATTACCTGATCAATTCATTAACCAAGTTTAAAGCTGACACATTACATACAACAAAAAACAATTGTGTCATAAATACTTGAACGGAAGTTGTGTTTTGAAGTAGCTCAGAGAAACAATAGTAACGAAGGCTAATCAAAACCAGAAATGTAGCCAACCCTCGAGCCGAGTTGCAACATTTTTCACGAGCCGAACTACGAACCGAACTGCATTTATTTGAGTTAAACCCCGGTTTTTGCTAAACCTCGACATTTCATTTCGATACCGGAACTTGTGAACTAGTGTAGAAAAAATAACCTATAAAATGGTCAAAGTAGTATCTGATTTTTTTGTACGTTTAAAGTACGCTCAGAAAAAAACCGTGCAAATATTAATGTTACTGCAATATATCCACACACATGAGCTTTAAAAAAATGTTTAGTATCTGACTGAGAAACTTCATACAAGTTTCATGTTTCTAATGTTGAAAATGACGGGAATAGTATACCATGAAAAGGTCTAGCTCAATTCTCATTTCCTTTCAGATAGAAACTCGAAAACTTTCCATAAAAATGTTGTTATATGATGCCACCTTAAAGATAGAATTCAGAAGAGCCTTAATCTAGGTTTTCGTTTATATCTAACGAAGATACAAAATACCATTTTCAATTCAACCAAGTTTCATATTCATTATGTTAGTAATGACGAAACTGTCGTAAGCTAGTCTAGCGTCATCTTAGTGGTGAAATTTCAAAATACTCCTCCATAGTCTTTGCCTAGGTGATAGAAAGTGTATGTGTCATATTCGAGCATATAAACGGGTATTTTTTCAATATGGAATGAAAGCTCGACTTGGCTCAATTCGGCTCAAAGCTCGACTCGATTTCAAGGCGAGCTTCAAGGTTGCCTGGAGATTTAAAATTGAGCCAGAATTGCTGCCGAACTACGGCTTTTTTGATATCGAACCGAGTCAAGCCCAAGTCAAAACTCGGCTCATCATAAGTACCATCATAAGGGCCATTCAGGAGGATAATTTTATTTCAACATCAACGTGTCCTCTGAAATTACTGAAAACTGTAATTAAATTTAGATAATTTCAATGTAGGATTGGAATATTTATCAGTACCATCGTTTTTGAATTGTTTTCAAGTTCAACTGTGATCTAGATATACATTTTATTTTAAGGCAGGATGCTTCAGTGAGGTACGAAGTATATGAAAACGAAAGACCTTTCAATAACTATCCAACTAATGGATTCAGCGATAGACCCTACAACCAAATACCTTCCGAAGTCGGATCATCATTTAGACCAAGACCTAAACCCATTTCCAGTGATGGGTGAGTCCTTAACAACCTATTATTCATATTGTGATATATCCTGGTTAATTTACGTCACTTTTCTATATTCCTGACTTTTCTCAGTTTCAGACCAGGAGGCTTATATGCCGAAACCAGTTACGGGTCTGGATATGGTCAAGGTCAAGGTAATTATGATTCAGATGACCGACCAATTCCGGATATACTTACAGGACCTATTCCTTCGTGGGTGAAAGAAGGTCCATACAAGGAGTTCGATCGATGTAAATGTGCTGAAAAATTCAATTGCAACAGTCCTGGAATCTCCTATGTAAATAAATAATAACGCCATACAAAGACAATATTTCTGAATCACCACACCAATTATTACAGGGCCACTGTGATGTTGGAAAACAATATTGTTGTTATTCTACTACCAAAAAAAATCAACTAGGAGGTCCTCTACCATCAAGACCAGTTCATTCATCTGAAAATGGTATTTTGGTAGGTCCAGGGGGTCCATTCGATAGACCAAATACATTTCAGAGACCTCATTTCGGAAATGGGTTAGGACCAAGGCCAGTAGGATCCTTCAGACCTGGAAGTGGTGGGTTTGGGCTTGGTGGACGACCTCACCCAGGATTTGTAGGTGAATATTCTATCTGGATCAAAAGCAAACTTTTATTTGTCTCATCTACAGGGTTTGTGAATGTTGTGATATAACAATTGATTTTTTCATCATATTAAAAAATATTTCTACTACAAATAAGCTATTACAGCTATAAGCTATAATTGCACCGCTATTTTCAGGTCAAAACAGCAATTCTCCAGAAAATGGAATACTGATTGGCCCTGGAGGACCTTATGATAGACCCATCCAAGGTTATGACTTAGATTTCAACCCAAGATCAGCTGCAGATGCTTCGAAGAGAAAATCATAATCATCGAAAACTTTTTCCGTGGCATTTTTCTAGAAAGACATTGTGTGAGAGTCGCTATTACTTGATTTACAGGTTTTCAATCTCCTTTCGCCCAAAAATAAATCAATCTAGATCAACAGAACAGAAGTAACTGCGAATTAGAACTCTGTAGAGTGTAATCAATCAGTAACTAGTCATATTGATGAATATTACTTGTCAGAAAAGATGAATTAATTAAAAAATACTTTATATATTCTTCAAAAATAGTTAACGGTTCGGAAATCACTCTCTTAGTTTTACTTCATCCCATTTTATGAGAAACAGCGTTCGGGGTGTACTTTTCAGTTTATCATTTAATATATTCGAACAGATTCTATGTTGATCTAAATGAATTGATTCTTCAAATTGTGATGGTTGAGAACTCATAAGTATCAAGGAACATTCCGTGGAGTCTTTTGCAAGATCAACTCTGTTCCAAAGTCGATACAATTTGAAAAATCATCATTGAAATAAGTATTGGTCAATTCCAACAGGGATGCCTCTTCCATCCAACACTGGAAAACGGAAACATTAGTATATATTGGAAGTTTGTGATATCGTTGAAGGTTAATGATTTTTATCGGGTTGAGAGTTTGGATTAATAAAATTATAATTCCGCGAAAATGCAAATATCAATAAATCATCATCATATTTTTCTAAAGTATTCAATTTCCCCATTTTCTGATTGATTCGCCAGTTACTTGATGAAGATCCATAGTAATTTCATAAACTAGAACTCACGATTTGATCTCCACAAACTTTATTTGGAAAATATATCACATGTTTCGCTA